AACCTTCAGCAGCTGGAAATGCTGAAAAATCAGTTGGATCAGGTCGGTATGCTGCATGTGAAGGGTTGTCCCATTATCTACAGTATTTCAGCAATGCGTTTCGGACGACAGGCGAGGTGAAAATTGCCACAGAAATTGAATACGCGGCACCTTTTGTGATGATGGGCTGGCATGGAGTGGGGAGGGGGGTGGATTGAAAAAAAAGTATGATTTTGTAACGGACTCTCTTTTATCTCTTTCAACACAGAAACTCTTGTCCAAAAGACAGGTGAGTCATTCTGAAAGCATGCAAGTCAGGTGAACAGCAAATGACTCCGATTCAAACTCATGACTTCCAGGTTCCCAGGCAGGATTCCTCACCCAGTATAAAATTTCTAAAAATGCTTTGTGATAACTTGTAAAGTTACTAGTATTAGTGGCCGTGTATTTTATGTTATGTTCTTACTAAAGGACGGAAGCAAATTTTGGCCGGTGCTGGTTTAGTGTGAGTTTCAGTTGATTGACGGGATGTGATCCAGTATTCCCGACCCTGGGTGGTAGGATGTAGTACATGTGTGAGGTCACCGAAGCAAAAGTACCTATTAAAGTAACAGGTTCCTTTCTCAGCACTCAGTGTACAGAGGCCTAGAGGTGAGGCTAGTCTAAAATCTCAGGTTTAAAGTCTAAAATCTCAGGTTTCTTGCTGTTGGATGTTTCCAGGAGACAGAAATGTTTGCGGGATCTCTGCAGTCCCTGAAGGCTGCTCAGCAGAAGTTTGTGGAGTCACAACAAAACCTAGAGACCCTCGTACCCAATAATGAAGGTGAGCAGTACTTGTATTGTAAAAACTGTAACCACAGCTGCCTGAAGTTTTTAGGTCGTACTTTAGGCTACACCGATTTCATTTCATGGATGACATCCTCTGAAGACCCAAACTAGTGCGCGCAGGCGAATAAAAAAAATTCCAGTCAAAAATAAAAATGCCACCAAACCATATAGAAATACAAAGCTGCCATTGTAAATTTGCGGCAGTACATAGCGACGTATACGACAAGCCGGCACATGCTGGCATTTTGTGAAATTTATGAATCGGCACTGGAAGGATGTTCTCGGGGTCTGAGTCTGGGGCCTGAGTGCCGTCCTCCAGAGTTACCACCTCCATATTGTCGCTATTAACAACGATGGAGTACCCAGGCCTAGAGCCAGGCCAGAGCCTCAGTCAGACTCAGAGGACGTGATCATTTTTTTTGTGTGTGTGTGTGAACAGGTGAAAATCAATGCGCGCGTGGATGTCATCCATAAAATTAAGGCGGTGTGGCCTTAGGTTAGGTAAGAGAACAGTTACTGTAATTCACTTCATGTTCACGGTAGCAAAAGTTCGCAGTCTGAGAAAAATGGATGTGTTCACAGAACTATATGTTCATGGTGGCAGCAGGTGCAGAGAAGGGAAAGTTGCCGAATTATTTGTTCACGGTAATGATAAGTTCGCGGTACAGAAGTGACCGCTAAAATTGCGAACATAAAAGTAACGTGAAGAAATCAGGAATTACTGTATTCTTTTCTGGATAATCAAAAAAAAAAGTTCCCCACTTTATTGAGGTGATGCTAATGAGTTATTTTCCTTTGAATTCCAGGGAAGGAAATCCTGGTACCGCTCACAAGCTCTGTATCCTTCATTACATACATGTACTATGTAATATGTTATCAATCTTTGCAAAATTTAGAAAATTGTGATTTTTTTTCTTAATGATGCAAATCTGGTTTATTGCTAGTTCTTGGACATTGTGTCATAGCTGGGCCAAGATTTTTCAATACAGGTGTCCCAGCCTGTGTGATAACTACATGTAGCTATATCTGTATACTGTAGCTCTGTATATCTGCATCTGTCTCTGAAGGGTGCCCTTCAGTGTAACACACCCAGGCTTCCAAAAGTTTCATTCAAAAATCTGAAGGTGTAAATAATGTGTTTTTTAATGACATACTGTCAGTTTTGTGATATACACAAACAGTATTCTCGCCAGGCCTTTTGAGCATAGGGGCCCCCTATGCTGTGATTTGGACCCCTATATTGTCTTTCAAGCAGCAGGTTGTTGTATTTTATGTGTGGCAATAAGCAACTGTATATACGTCTGTGTTATAAGTTTGTAATGTTGTTTTTAAGACTCCAGGAAGAATAGTGAGTATAAGCGTATGCCTATACTCACTAATGGAGATCCTTCAAATAAACAAATAAACAATTTTCAAGCAGCATAGGGTGTTATTTGGGGAACCTTCATAAATCTCGCAAAAAAGGAAAATATAAGATTTAGATTGAAGCTAAGGCAAAGGGAAAACCTTAACTTTACAAAATCTGTCCCCCAATAAGTGAGAAATAGTGTCTCAGGGGGTTATGAGTTTCAAAATATTAGGCTCAATACGCGACTTGCACCGCGAAAGCTATGCTGTGAAAAAATCCTGGTGAGAACACTGACAAAGTTTGGCCATACATGCAGATCCTTTTTGACAGTCAGTTCTGTAATAGACTTTCAATCCTGAGACAAAAGAAATTTGGATGTTTCCTGAGCCTCCCTACAGATGTATGTACCTGGTCACCTGTCTGATGTAAAATGTGTCATGGTGGACATTGGTACTGGATATTATGTGGAAAAGGTTAGTGATGTCAATATTTCTACACAAAAACTCTACCATGCAGATCCTAGGTTGGCATAAGACAGTATCAAGCAGTATCCATTGCCCAGAGAGGGTCCAATATTCCACCCAAGAAACTGCAGAAAGTCACACAGGACAAGGACACGGGGAGGGACAATCTTTCCAGAAACTTACCAGAAACGTGTTTACTTAAGTCCAACAACAGGGATGATCCTTAAACAACCTCGTCATGCCTTAAGGCCTGTAAGTTATCTAGGACAAATGCAGCAAGCTGTGCCACTTCACAGTGGGATTCCGGGAGCCTCCCCCCGTAGAGAAAATACCACAGAGATTGTACACATTACAAGGCATAAAAGCATTTACGTTTCAACAAATATTCTTTTCAATTATACACCAATAGCACTTTTAATAAGGACGCATGCCAAAAATTGTGAAAAAAAAATACCGCCATTTTTTTGTCATTTTTTCCATTTTCTTCGCTCTTGATTCCATTGCAAAAGTAAGAACTACAGGAGAATCAAGGGGTTTTAACACAGTGCAAAACAAGTTAGAAATACTGTTGTAGCCTGCAGACAGTAGACCGGTGGTTAGCCCAGGCTGCTTTGCAGTTCGTACATACTTGTAGAATGACTGCTGTGTAATGTATTGGAGTGATTAGGTTTATGATGCATTAATTTGATGCTTGCGACTTTCTGCAAATCTTGGGTGGCGTATTGGACCCTCTCTGGCCAATGGATACTGCCTGGCCAATTTGATACTGACTCTTATATCACGCTAGGATCTGCATGGAGATTAAACTTCGCAGGTAGAAGTTTGGACCTGTATGGGTGATGATGGAGTGAAGTTTGCCTTCTCAGATTGCCTTGTGTGTCGGGACTAGGTCTAAGGGGACAAAATAGTACATTTTACAAAAATCTAGAATTTTCTATGAAAATTGGTTTGTAGGCAAAAATCTGGAATTGCAATATGATTAATTTTTTGTCAGAGTCATGTAAGAAAATGTATTGCTTATTGTCTAAATAACCAATACATCCCCTGCATTTTGGTCTCTGAGTCTGAATCAACAAAATGTTTTATTTCACTGGCAGACAACAGATGAAGCTAAAGCCTACTTCAAGAGGAAAGTTGAGTTTTGCACCCAACAGATGGAGAAAATACAACCCTTACTCCAGGACAGGGCCACAAAAAAACAAGGTACACATTTTTCGTTACCGGGTAGTTTATGAAATCGTCTGAAATAATTGCTTTTGATTTCATTGTGGGTGGGCAGTGATTTTGACAGTTAATTGATAGGGAAGTCACCCAGCACTTGCCATTAGGAAATTGATGCAATAGACTAGTACCTGAATAAATTACATCATACAATCCTCTCCACAGTTCCCAGAACATTGCCCAGACATCTGTAAACTTGATGGTCACAAAAACACATTAATTTTTAAGACTTCCTGGAAATTTCTTGTTTTTGTGGTTTTATACATGATCAGAGCTGATAAATGACAAACTCTTTTGCAGCTGTCATTGATGTGATGAGAGACAAGATGATACAGATGCAGATGATGCAAATGCAACAGGCAGGCCAGGCATCAAGAGCATGATCGTCATTTAAAAAGTTCTACATTTATCATTCATTATCTTGCTACTCTCGTAGACAGGAATGGTTGCCTTTGAAATCATCGTATGACTGTGTTTTTCTTGTGCACAGTCAAGAGTACAGTTCTAATAAAAATTCACTGTTAAGAATTGTTTCACTAGATTTAGTTTGGACTTTTTTTCATTTTTATCTATCATACTGAGAGTCTATATACATGTTTATATGCCATCAACCCTACAAGTCCTGTTATTGTAAAAGTTGGCAGAACAAAATTTGTAGCTCTCACAAGAAAGCCCCTCTGGGGGAGATATTTCACATTTTGATGGGACAGCACTGATCAAGCGACTCCTTATGCTTTGATCAAGTGTACCAAGTCTTTGAAGACCAATACAAACTTCAAGTAACCACCTTTGGTGGAGATATTACACCGTTTGAAGGGGCATTTTTTCCATAAGAAATATGCCCTGGAGTGGCTTATGCTTTTATCAAGTGTATCAAGTCTTTGCACATCTAAACCATCTTTCAAGACTTGTATGTTATTTCAGCCGTGTGAAAATGTAATTTGGCTGTCACTGCATACCTCTAGGCTATTTCTGTTGTATCTGTAGTAACGAGTCGCGTGGAATAAAACATGCATGAAGACAGCGGCGAGCTGCCAAGTTAATTGTGTTCTTTTGTGTAGAAATGTCAGCTGTCAGTGTTGTTTAGATTAAAGCCATGGCTACCATCTTTCTTGCGTAGAGTAGCTGATTAATATCTCTCAAAGGGACTATATATCTTTTATATAATTTATTCATGTATGCTGCTATAGTAAGAGGACTACTTCATTCCAGGCAGCAAAAAATTCTAGTAGAAGTACACAAGACTTTGTTATTGAGAAGCAGTGATCTAACATTATAGTCAATTTTACAAAAAGTAAGGAAATGCATTAACTGCATATCATGTTCCTACAGATACAAGGGCCCTAAAAATACTTTGTAGATACATGAATAGACTATATATACTTAAATTAAGTTAAAACAAGGGTTGGAAACAAATTAAACAGTCAAGAGGAAGTATATTTGATATTTGCCAGTGGATATTCATTAGGACAATGGTTATTGGCAATTGATAGTTACATATAATAATAACCTTTATTGTACATTAATGCCCCATCGGGCTAAGTACAGGTGGAAGGGTAATATACAGGTTTGTAGTACAAATAGCTCTAAAACTACACTAATACAAAGGTTCAGCTTCTTCTCGTTTCTTAGTGATGTTAAAAATATAATTTGAAATCGGTTTGTTTAATACAGGATGATCAAAGCGCATAAGAAAGATAAATTTCTCAATATTAGTCAAGTATTGGAAGTATGGGAACTTGTAATATATCTAAAAAAATCATTTCTATCATTACTATATAAACTACAATATAAACAGCTGTGTATTGCTGAACGTTGTTAAAACATAAACAAAAGCAAAGAGCAAATATATTCTCAGCAAACATCTTTTCAGACTTTTATAATCTTCCGACTGAGCTAGACCATACAGTAATGTTACCACTTGTCCAGAAAATCTTTGAGGAGAATTTTGACACCCAGATTCCTTGCAGCCAGAAATTTTGACGTCATGGAATTTTTTTTTGCTGCCAAAAAGAATTAGGAACACCCCTCTCACAAGATTACCCCACCCCCCTGTAACTCGACAGGCCCCACCCCTTAGAGATCTCACAACAAGTCTACCTGATCCCCTGGACAGCCTTTGTCACCGCTATGCTTCACCGTCATTCACCTGAGTCACTTGCCCCGGAGACGGCTCAATATTTGGTTCTCACACAAAGGGAAACACCGACCTGACACAAAGGAACCCTGATAAGGTTCGGCAGGTGGTGTCAAGTTGCTTTGTGTACCTGGTTATGTCTTACACAAACGCACAGATTGGAAGAACTTACTGTAAAAATGTTTATTTCAGTGGTGATAAAATTGTAATTTGTCATTTCTACATTGGCTTGTGCGCAAATGATAGCAGCATTTTGTTTGTAGAAAGCGTTACTGAACATGATATACAAAGTGGTAACATCGTTGTTAAAGTATGAAACCAAAAGACCGGATAGACCCTCGTCATAATTTTCCTACTTACGGAGTGAAGATCAAACGGTTGTTATAGCGACGGTCAAACAATATGGCCGCTGTCTCTCAATTTTTAAGTTGACACTTCAAATTGTTTGCTTTGCTTCGTCGTTTAAACACGTCACTATCGATCGCTACTGAGGAGAACTGGATTTGAGTTTATTCAGTCTCCACAGAAGAACCTGACGACGAGGTTCTGGTGATTTTCCACCCGCAAACGCAGAAGAACAAGGGTGAAAATCGTCGCCATGTCGGAGGAGGAAAGTGTTAAGGTCGCCGTCCGGGTTCGGCCTTTCATATCCTTTTGTTGTTGGTGCTCAGGGTTTAGCTGGGTGTGCTTCAGCATAAGCATTAACTGCGTCTGCAGTTTGCTTACATTTCGTCATGGTTTAGATGGTCAAGTTTATTTGGGTGTGTTGAAATGTGAGCAGTGTTCGCTTAATTAAGCCCTTCGAAATCACGAGTATCGCGATGTGTTAGTTACAATCCGATACATTTCAAGGACACAAACTCAAAGATTTAGATCGAGTTTGAGATCTTGTTTTACTTCTGTTCCTCATGACAAGCCGCGTGAATTTAGCATGCAGTACGGGCTTACAAACGCATGGCTGAGTTTAATACAGTGACTAATCTTCCAAAAGCCTCGGGGTTTATGTCTTTACGTTTATCGTCAAGTCAAAATGAGGGAGACAGTAACGTTCATGATAAAAGATAGTCATCTTTTCTCTGACGTTATATGACTGTTGGTGCGTTTCACATCAACTGTCAAAATCTACAAATGTCAATAATTATCATAATTCTAGTAAATCAGGCTGCAGACAACGTCAGTTTATGCACACAAGCCCCAAATGTAGACAACTCTGTACTCTGTCATTTCAAATGGCAAATATGTAGAAAATGTGTAACGTTACAAAAAATAATTTGATTTTTATTCTTTTTATCAATTAGCATAAAATAAATACAATGCATGCATTATTCTTTTAATAGTTATGCCATATTTACAACCCAGATTCGTTACTTGATCGAGTTACATTATGTTAACTGTAACAGTTAGATGGTAAGATTTTTATATTTGTTGTAGGACATAGCAATTACTAAGGCCACAGCAAGTCATTTTTATGGATGACATCAGCACACGCATTAATTTTTGCCTGATTTGGGAAGAAAAAAAAAAAAATTTTGTTGCCTTTTGACAGTGGTCAACATGCCAAAAATAGGCAAAGTCTGTTGCCATGCCGGAAGGTGGATGGCAGATAACTATGAAGAGAGGAGACAAGACAAGGCTCTGAATTAATGTTTCGTTTCTTACTTTGATGCAGTAATATGTGATGCTTGCTGTGTATACGTGATGTTCCCACTGAATAAAAACCATTTGAACAATGTACAATGATTGAGTCAAAATTTTAAAATGTAGGAACCTCGTTTTCTTCGGTCCCTCCTTGTTTCTTTTTT